TATATATGTAAAACAAACGAAAATTTTGATTAATTTGTTATTTGATGATATTCATTTCTTTTTTTTTTACATCCCATTTTTCATTGAAAAAATTAAATTAACAAAAAGAAAAAAGTTTTCAATAAAGGATAGGGCAAACATTGAAGTATTTCAATTAGCATAACATTTTTATATTAAACATGAAATTGTTAGGAAAATTTTTCAAAAAGTAAATTTTATAAATTTCACAAAAAAAAAGTGAAAAATAAAAAAATGAAAAATAAAAATAAAAATAAGAAAAAAAATGAAAAATAAAAATAAAACTTATACAATAGAAATTTTGATTGCAAAATCAAATTACTAAACAATATTGGTTAATTTTTCTCCAGACTATCCTTGTTTGATTATGTATGTTCGCTAGCAAGTTTATGTAAAAAAAAGAAAAAAAGGTTTACAGTAATGATTCTGTTGTATAATTAACATAGTGTAATTAATGAAGCATTAATTAATGGAACATTAAGTGGAGAAATGTCATGAAAAAGTTGAAGCAAAGAGGTAACAAATGTGACAGATTGTAATAGATAGTATAAATATGATACCGGAAATATATCTGATTTGTTAACCTGTTCATTTACATCATTCAATAATTCGAATAAAAAGAGAATAATAAATTCTGAAACCGGAAAGAATTGAAAAGGAACAGCAAAATCTGAAACCGGCAAGAGAGAAAGAAAAAGAGAGGTGCATATTTAATTTCTGCAATATTGATATTTTATATGCTCTTGTAAGAACATATTCTGTTGTAACAGAATTCTTAAGGTGTAAATTTTAGCTTGACAAATGGATTTAGACGGATTACGTACGGGGAAATAATTAAAATGACGTAAGAGTTTGCAATTAGTACTAAGCTATACTGATATTTTATATGTTCTTGTAAGATCGTAACGCAAGAAGTTCCCGTCTGGGAATGTTTTAAGCTTTGTACTTGAAAATCCCATTTGCGAAATTATGCACGTAGAAAAAAATCAGTTCTCGAGTTGTGCACGTAGAAAAAAAATCAATTCTCGAGTTGTACACGTAGAAAAAAATCAGTTCTCGAGTTATGCACGTGAAAAAATTGATGCTCGAGCTGTTCACATGAACAGGATACTTCTCGAATTTTGACGTGAAAAGAATAGTTCTTTAATTGTTCACGTGAAGAGGATAGTTTATAAGCCGTGTACACGTAAGTAGAACAATTCTCGAGTCATGCACGTGAAGAGAACAATTCTCGAGTTATGCACGTGAAGAGAACAATTCTCGAATTATGCATGAGTGGGACAATTTTCGAGTTATGCACATGAGTGGGACAATTCTCGAGTTGTGCACGTGAAGAGGGCAATTCTTGAGTTAATGACCGAATTAAATTAATATTTTACAGGTAATTACATCATACATCTAATTACGAATCTTCATCATCCGCTAATATCGTATGGCTCTGCAAACGATTGTTTGCAAGTGGACAAACGATAGCAGCGGAAATCCCAGTAATGTCTCAGTTTGTCATATAAGATAATTAAATCATTCCTCGACAATATTTATTTTATTGGATATTTTAAGCTTGAAGATATTAAAACATTCCTGATAACATGAAAAATTAGACAAAATTTAGGTAATAATATCAAATAAAGATGACAAGATGACATTTATCAATTCAATGATAATTTCAGATGAATGAAATGGCAACGGATAAGATTATATGTTGTAATTGCGAAATTTCATTGGTACCAGCAAAGTATTTATATATTCAATGTGATAATTGTCAAAAGAAAGGAGTTGATGTGAAATTATGCGTTTCCGTATGTATTATATTTCTTTTTTCTTTTTTTTTCCATCTTTTTTATTTCTTTATTTTTAAGTTAGAACAGATAAATTAACTATTTAATTTGACAAGAATTGTTAGATTAATTAGATTAATTAGGCTTATTTTATTCATATTTGTTAAGCATTGAGAAGAAATTTACTTCATTAACGGAAAATTTATTGATGAAATTATTACTACAGTTGCTACTAAATGTAGAATAAGATTGAGAATGTGAAAAAATTTAGTTAAAATTTAGTGAATATTATTAGATTCAATTGATGTAGTGCTATAATTAATGTGAAAATTTAATTGTAATATTATTTACAGTGCTTTCGAATGGGTGCAGAATGTGGTCCTCATAAACGTGGACATGCGTATACTGTTGTAGATCGTAAAGGACCTGCATTATTTCAAACAAAATCTGATAAACATTGGGGTTGGAAAGAAGATTTGGAATTGATCAAAGCAGTACATAAGCATAAATTAGGCAATTGGTATGTTTTAACGTAAAGTACTGAGAAAATTTCATGATCATTTTTAATAGTATATAGTTGTAAGCATACCAAAATCAAATTCAAGTTTTATTCATCTCCATCTTATCCCTCATTCTTTATTTAATAATACATTTGTCTGCGAAGCTTGTTTTTTTTCTTTTTTTTTATAAAATAAGATGGTTGAGTGCCGATTTGTACTGATTTTTTAAATGTTGGTCGTGCATATATCAAATAATAGCAATAATTCTCATTGGAAATATAATGGAATAATAAGGGGCATCATTTTATTATTCTGTAATTTATACTTAGCTTTTCGAACTATTTGGAATTAAAAAATAGACTTTGTTAGTTGAAAATTTTAAAAGAATTTTCGCCACTAAATAGATTTGTATTATTCTGTTTCATTATCGTTCATCTTTTATCGTTCAGGGAAGAAATTGCATCAGATTTGGATACTGATAAAACTGCCGATGATGCTAGGAAACGTTTTGATCAGGTTTTCATACGTGGTCCTTTTGGTCGATTTGCAGCAGGTGTTAATACAGGGTAATTTTTTTCTAATATTCATTTCATACTTGGACTTTTTTACAAAAAAAACTGTAATAAATGCATAAATTTAAAATTTTATTCGTGTGGTTTCCGTCCTGAAATTATTTAGTGGATGTATTTCATCCAGCAAGATTTTTTGGCATTAACGATGTCATATTTTTGTTGAAGTGCTATTAACTATCGAAAAATAACTTAACAAGTTGAACTTATTGTTACTCGTCTCTGGTTTTTATCTCCTATACTTCATCTCTTTCTTTCACACATTTATTTTTCTACCTGACAAAATGTCTCAGCCAACAAATTTCTTGTAATTGAATCTACTGCGTGTCTTATCGATTGACGTAGCCAAGCAGTTCCGATCTGTACAAAGTCTGAGGAATAGAATGTCTTACCAGTATTTATCATCGTATTTTGAAATAAAAAAGGCTAGATTATATGAAATCAAATTAGATGTTTGTTTTTATACTATTATTTTTCAGGCCATATGTCGATATTCACAAGGTTGAAGAAATGAGTTCATCACATCCTGACTCAGATATAGTTGGTCAAGAACAAGCAGCAGATAGTTCAGATTGGCAATGTATGTTTTGTTTATTCGTTTCTCTTGTTGTACTTGAAAAGTCTAAATAGTCTTTCAAAAATATGCTTACTTTCCAGATATTTCTGAATTTTTTCGTAACTGGGATCAATCTGTAAATTTTGACGATCCAAACTGGTTCGACCAGTTTGAAGAACCTTTGAAGAAGTTTAAGAATGAATTTTGTACTCCACCTGTACGAAGCTCAACAAAAAAAAGTGATGAGAAACAAAGTAGTTTTGAAAGAAATGATGGACCACATGTTATGACTCCACCTCAGTCGCCATTATCTGTGGAATTCATAAGGATAAGTTTTTTGCATTTCATTTTTACACTGCCGTGATTAAAGAATTTTTCCTCCAAATAGTTATCCCGGTCTAAGACCACCTGGTAGGGAGCTAGTCATCTTCCGAAAGCGTGTTCGATGGCAGGTACAACTCTTATGTAGCATGTGAAATTTTATAATCAATCCGATGAAATTTTATAATCTAGTCGATGGTATAATCTACCCAATGGTAATGTGAAATTTTATAGTCTACCCAGTGACGTTTTTTTTCTCATATATGTATTTCATTATTCTTTCAGACAGATGAAGAAGGAAAAAGAAAACGATTACTTTCTGTGAGTGATTTTGATGAAGTAAGTTAACTTGCAGTTAGCATCAAATTTTTGCATAGTTAACAAGTGAAATGTCGACTTGGTTGTTTCATTTCATTTTTAGAGCGATGATGAAGCAACAACTAACTCAGAAAGCAGTAATTCATGTAATAAGGCTGAGTTAACAACACCCTGTTCAAAAAAGAAGGGCAGTAGTCATAATGCTCATGTTTGTCGCAACTCATCAGATACTGATGAAGGAAGTGGTTGGTTGTTTCATTTACAGTGTATTTTTTAGGCTTAATTAACTTAAAGCACGTTAGTTATCCATGTTATTATTTGCTATTCACAGGTAAGATAGCGGAAGTTTTCGCATCTTGCACATCTTGAAAAAGAAAGGTCGTAAAGTGAGGATTTTACAACCAGATATCAGTAAAACCAAAATGAATGCGTATGATTTATACGAATTAATTTTAGAACCGGAACCGGCACAAAAGTATGAAAAAAAGAAGCCAGTACTACAGTTGAAGCGCGTTGGAAGGAAGAGACGTAAAAAAGACTACAGGGAAAAATTATTTCTGAAGGTGATGGTTCTGTTTTTTAGTTTTTCCTTCTAACTGTAGTTATGAAGATAAATATTCTTTTTCAGGTTTATAATTTTTTTTCTTTTTTGTAACAGTGATAGCAGTTAAAATAATGTCAATCATCATTCTTGAGTGACTCTATAGTTTAGGATATTTATCTTCATTTTATCATGCTTAAGTTTTATGCGTTTTGATTTTTTTTTTTTTTATAGCACCATTCAGGGATACGTAGTATTATTCATGTCATTAGATAAAGAAAGTTTATTGTTAGCTGTTTGGAAACTAGCAACAAGAATGTATTTAACTTAGATTTTATTTAGGAGACGTATGAAGGAAAACTTCGGATTAAAATAAGTGAAGATGTGAAGAAGCAGCTGCGCGATTGTCATCCGGAACAATTTTATGCAAATGTCCCATTATTACCTTTCGGAACAGAAGAACGTCTAAAATTGAAGGATAGCGATCTTCAGTTATTGGGGTACATGCCAGAAAGAGACGATTTTGAGTGGGTTAGTGATTGGGATATGTTTTTGTCCTACTTTTTGATTCTTTTTTAAATATTTTTTTAAACATTTTTTGAATGCAAAGCAAGGATTTCTTCCTTGCTCCTCACCGAAAAAATCCCTTACAAATCTCTCATTCTGTTTTTTGCATCTCTGATCCATCTTATTTGATATTTGTTTCTTCTGCAACGATGCAGATTTCAGGAATTTATGAATGACGCAGAAAAATTAATTAGTCGTTTGATGCTGCAACCAGGGCCTGATGCAGATGAAGACAGTGCTTTTGAAAGTGGTAAGTTTTTTTATTGATTTTGAAACATTTTATTTGAAGTCGACCATTGATTTAAGTGTTCTGTGGAGTACTTTTTAATATTATGAGAAAGAGATATCTGTAGTTAACATGTGACTACAGATATAAGTAGCACTGAATAATCGAATCTCGAAACAAAAAAGCGAAAAAAAGCAATGAGGGAAAGAAACTGATTCATTCCCCAATAGAAGTTAATTAGTAAATGTTATCGAGCTATCATATCGCACTGTGATAAAAATATATTCAGCATTGTGCTCAATTATTTTTTTTCAGCTGTAAAATTAGCGAAGGTGCAAAAATATAATCGAATCCTGAAGCAGAGAAGAGCAAAAAAAGCAGCTGTCAGAGAATACGAACTTGTGAATAAATTTTTTGATAAGATCAAGGTAATTATTTTTGTATATCTTGTAATAACTAAAAACAATATTTCATTTTACTTCTTTTAGCTGCATTTTGTTACGAAGAAGTTAGCATCAATGTTTCAATGGTAATCAACATCAATGTCGATTAAATTACCAAAAAATCGTGTTATAATGAAAATTTGTATACCATTTAGACTTACTCTTTGTTTCATTCCTTCTGTATTAATGAACTCCATGAACCAGGTGATTATGGAAATAAGGTTAGTAGCCTAAGTAATGTACAATTTCCAGAAGATAGAAGAAACTCGTCGAAGTTTGACACACAGTCAGCAGCATTCTGCTTCGGCACGCCAGTATGAACTACTTCATTCGTTTATGAAGAAAACTTATCAAGTAATGAGACAACCGGAGTTAAGCCAGTTACTTGATGCGATTACAGGTAATACGAGAATAATTTATCTATTTTGGAAAAAAAGAAGAGAATTTTCTTTTAGACTTATCTGTTTTGTTTCCAAACTATAATTTTGGTATCACTGTTATAATGGTTGCGCATTTTAATGAAGGTTATTTAAAGTGATATTTTTAGATTATACGAGTTTGAATGAAAGAATTTTGAATCTGGGAAATTTTGAAGTGGATGTATCAAGGATCTGAAAGGTTTTTCATAATTTAGCTATTTCTAGTATTGTCAAAACTTATTCCATTGATGTTAAAGTTTGGTTTAACGAGTTGCTACTATCATTTCTTAGTTCTTAATCCCACTCTACTTATTAAAACATGAATATGTATATGCATTCAACTTTCTCATCGGAATTGTTGTGTACACAGTAATTTCAACAATAGATTAAGTTGCTTGTGATGGTTAGAATAGTAAATGCAAGCGTTGTTCTCTTCATTCCAGTAATATGTTGTTGAAGGGAATGCTTTTTTTTAGGTAAGAGGATATAATCCCAACAGCCTAATGAATGAGGGTAAGACAAACTTATGGCTTCCTTTTGAAGGCTATTTCAAGAGATTAAATCTGTGCATACTCGTGTTCGAAATGCATTTGCTTTCAGTATTGCCGGATGATTTTGCTGAAACAAATTGGGAAAGGATCAGTAAATTCACCCAAAACCATCTGGGTATTCCAGGACCTCAGAATATATTAGAATTGTGTATAAACTGGACTATGTGATGCAGATAACCCATCTAGTAAACCTGATGTATACTGTGGTCAGATCTAATAGCGCAGGTCATTTTTTATTGTCAGAACAACACTTAGGTATTAAATTCCGAATTTTAATAATATCGTCATTCAGTCATCTGCATAGTTAACTTTGAAACTGCTTCCCAAAACTACTATAATGTAGCAAAGTAGCATTTCTTAATATTTAACATATAGTTAAACGTGAATAATAATACTGCATCTCTGGAATGTACCGAATAGATACTGAGATTACCGTTATAAAACGATGGTGACGTATGAGATGGTACTGTTGTGCTGTAGGTGTACTGCTTAAAAAGAAAAAAGAAAAAGAAGGAAAAAAATCAGAGAAATCTGATGAACCATAAGAAGAAAACATGTCATGAAATATAGAATTTGATTGGTTACAAATGAAATGAAATTGCAAATTACCCATTTTTTTCTGAAAACATTTCAAATATGGTCGATTTAGTAAGATGCTAAGGAAAAGCAGTTAAGTTTGAGCAAATGTGCTATCAGAAGTTTATTAATATTTCAAGATTGATGGGTTAAGATTGATTTTATAAAGTGATATCACACATTTTATAAAGTAATATCACATTTGGATGTAAAAAATAGCACTGGTGAACATTTTGAAATTTTACTCAATATAAGTCAGGTTTTTATGATTGCATGTTTTCTGTGTTGTCATTCGCACGATAATGTTTCTGTATTATATAATACAAATGTATTTTAATTCCTAAGTTTTTCGTGTTTATTTTTACTTTTCAGAGTGTTATTGTTTGATGTATATATTTAATCATTATAATATTTCATAAAATTTTTAATCACGAAATGAATTCTTTATGATGGATCAATCAATAGAGAATCGAATTGTTACGATCAAATATATGTTTACGGTGATTATTCTGATTTTATCATAGTTTTTTTTTCTATTTTTCTTGGGTAATTTTTTTTTCTTGACAATTATTATAACAAGATCTATAAACGTATAAGTTTATTATTTTTAATTTTCGATTAAAAGATTTGATACTTATGTAAGTATTATGTTTTTCCAGAATTATCGAAGTAATTTTGACCGTTTGAATTGGTCTTTCTATCTCAGTTCAATTGTGCATATAAACTCGGAATATGTTGCAGAAATATACGATTGATTATTATTTGCATAAATTATCCGAGAATTCGCGGTGAATAGGAAATTTAAATTTTTATAGTCTTCAATTAATGTATTCAATTATTATCCGTTAATACCCTTATAAAAGTGATATGCTTATTGTTCTTGATGAAATTTTGCTCATCTTCCATGTTGCTACCTCTAAATTAGCCGTTAAAATGGTGGATATTTAAAAAAAAAAAAAAACAAATTATGTATTATGCTTACTGGTGTACCTGTTAATTTTAAATACCTTTACAGGTATCCTATTATGCATCTAAATTTTTATTTTCCATTTTTTACTCATTTATCGAAACAAATAATAAAATTATATTGATGAGAAACAATGCAGAGAAATATTTTTCTTTTTTGTAAACAAGGAAATGGAGGAAAAATATTAATAATTGGTTAATTAGTTAAAACAAAGAATTTTTTTCATTAATTTCTTTTTTTTCGTTTTAGCTTTCAATTTACCAAAAGATGTATATGAATCATTGACAATATCTTAGAAGGGAAGACATTTCCAATAAAAATATTTTCAAAAAATGTTATTTTCATTAAATAAAAAAAGAATCGTCGTTTCTAGAAAATATAAAAAAAAATAAATCTTTTATTTACATAAAATTTCTTCAAATTATGATAAAAGAATGAATAATACATAGGAAGGATTAAATTTTTTTTTTTGAGAAGAAAAAAAAAACTTTAATACAAGCTTATTTATGAAAAAGGAAGTGAAAGCTTGCTAATGTTATTTGATTTGAATCATTGGCAAGAAAAAAAAAGAAAACTTTTTTTGCGGTTTTCTACTTTTGATGGAAATTTTACTCAATTGAAATATTTCATAAAACTATATATCATCAAGAACGAAACAATAATATTTGAGAAACAAAGGAGTAGTAATACCTTTACCTTTCAATACCTTCATCGATTTTATTTCCTCATCATCTGAAATATCATCATATACCTTACCGGATTAAATGATTTCTTACCGGATTCCATTTGAATTCAGTAGAAAAAAAAAAAGAAAAAAACGATGCGATATATTGATATCCTTCTTTTTATGTTTACAAGAATGAAATATCAAAAAAAAAAAAAAAACCGGCGATTGCCGGAATTGAGATATTCAGGTAAATGGATGTGTTTTTTTTTTTTGTTTAGCATTTGCATAGGTTGAAAAAAAAAAAGAAAAAAATTCCCCCTTACATTAGCAATTGTTAAAATTTGCAAAAATTTGAAATCCGGAAAAGAGTTTAAACATTAATCCGGCAACTAATTAATTAATAATTGGAAATGAGACACGTGCATATGTAATAATCAATTAAATATTGTTTAATTACTAATACTGGGAAAGAAATCACATAATACATTATTTAAAACTTTTCAATTATTTCATTTCCAATTATTAATTAATGATATGATGATGGAACAAAAATGAAAAAAGTTTATAGCAACAATTGATTTGACAGAAATGAAAAGTGATAATTTATCTGAGCGCAATACTATTCTTTTATCATCGTGTCACTTTTTCTTTTTTTTCTTTCTAGCTATTTTTGTTACTACTGTTTCCTAATTGATTACATTTTATTTTAGCTATAAATATCAAATCTTTAATTTCAAATACAATTTTAATTTGTTAATATTTAATTTAAAATTCGATTTAATCCGTATTTTCTGTCCCGAATTACAAAAAAAAAAAAAAATGGTCTTTACAATAATGTTTATTTAAAATTATGCAAATGAGCGGAAAGAAATTAAACAACATACGAATGGGAAAATATTTCAAACTATAAAAATAACATTTAAGGAAAGAAAATTGGAAATTTTTATCAAAAATTGAATCAAAATTAAAATATTTTTTCCTTTTTTTTTCGAAAATATAGTTTTTTATTTGTTTCCATTCTATTTTTTTTTTTTAACAAAAATACATTTCTGATAGCTATAAAATTAACTATAAATTAAAAAAAAAATCGGAATCAAAAAATGTTTGCTGATTTTGGATCATAATATTATTATATAATCATAGCTCTCAAACTGCATAAAACATTATTATGAATTTAAATTCCAATTTCAATCCCAATAAACGATCTCATACATTTTAATCAAATTAAATTAACAAGTAATTAAATTGAACTGGCTCCTTTTTTTTCCCCTTTTTCTTCGTTTTTTTTTTTTATTAAATTATATAAAAAAAAAATAATTTAATTTGCATTATTAATATTGCATGCTATTTTCCCTAAGCGATCAAAATTAAAAGTTTACAATAAAAATTAAAATTAAAACTTTTGCGATAAAATTTATAAATATTTCACTTCAATTAATTTCCATAAATTTACAAATAAAATTAAATTTTCAAAATTTTTTTTTCTAAAATTCATATTCTAACAATGTTTACTTCCATTGTTTTCTAAAAAAAAAGTAAAGAAAGATTGAAATAATTTCGAAAAATTTTCAAAAATAATTTTTGTAAATTTTTCCTCACAAATTACAATATTATATGAGAAAATTTAAAATAGAAAAAAAAATTATAGATAAAAAAATCAGTAAACATACCAACAGAGATCAAATAAATGATTTCTTGTTTAATTTTTATCAACCAATCACTTCCTTTCCTTAACAATAAATCAAAAATAAATTAAATAATTAAAATATAATCGAATTAAAATTCAACCAATTCTTCGTTTTTTTTTCGAAAACTGTTTTCTTTAATCAATTTTTAATTTCGAAAACTGTTTTCTTTAAAAAAAAAAAACTGTTTTTCCATTTTCGAAAAACTGTTTTCTTTAA